TCTGCCTCACCTGTTGTGATCTCACCTGTCCGTCAGACGGAGACCATGCTGAAGACGGCGGAGGACCTGGCCGGCCCGTACGTCTGGGGTCAGTACGACGTCCTGGTTCTGCCGCCCTCCTTCCCCTACGGTGGCATGGAGAACCCCTGCCTCACCTTCGCCACGCCCACTCTGCTGGTAAACCCGAACACACCTGCCACACCTGGCGCCGCGTCACGTGGCCGTTCTGTTGACCAGCTGTTTCCTGTCTGTCTCTCCTCAGGCTGGAGACAAGTCCCTGTCTGGAGTGAGTAACACCCGGGTCACACCTGGGACTCCGTGTTTAAGGGACAGGTAGAGGGGACAGGTTAATCCAGGGGGGATGGTGTCTGTGTTCCTCAGGTGATCGCTCATGAGATCTCCCACAGCTGGACCGGGAACCTGGTGACCAACAGAACCTGGGAACACTTCTGGTAACCAATCAGGAGCGAGTTGGGTCCAGTGGGTTTGGGTGTGATGCTCAGGTGTGTTATGCTCCTAGGCTGAACGAGGGTCACACCGTCTACCTGGAGAGGATGATCGGCAGGCGTATGGAGGGGGAGCAGTTCAGGCAGTTTAAAGCCATGGGGGGCTGGAAGGACCTGCAGGACTCGGTGAGAACCAGAACCCATCAGTTCGTCTCCTCACTACCATGCAGGTGTTTCCTCTCACCACTCGCCTCACTTGTACGCAGGTGAACACCTTTGGAGCAAACAACCCTCTGACCAACCTGGTGCCCAGCCTGCAGGAGGTCGATCCTGATGACGCCTTTTCCTCTGTGCCCTACGAGAAAGGCTTCGCTCTGCTGTACCACCTAGAGGAGCTGATGGGGGGCCCAGGTGACCCTGGACACACAAACACACACACACCTGGTTCTGGTCCTTTGCTGATACACCTGTTGGCTTGTCTCTCCCTTAGAGGTCTTCATGGGTTTCGTGAAGTCCTACATCCAGCGATTCGCCTACGGCAGTGTCACCACTGATGACTGGAAGAACTACCTGTTCACCTACTTTAAGGATAAGGTGAGGAAACACCTGGGAGGGGCCTGTGGGGTGACGTACCCACTTGGGCGGTTTTGGTTTGACGAACTCACTTCTTGGCTTTTAGGTGATGAATCTAGTCGAGGACCTACTTGGGAGTCCTTAGGGGTTGTTGGTTTGACCAACCCAACGGCCCTTAAGGGCCCCCAAATTGTTCCATCACTCCAAAAGCCAAGGAGTGGCTTGACTTAGCCCCGGACCTTTTGGGTTGATTCATATATTCGGGGGCCTTTGGGGTGAGGAACACACTTGGAGGGCCTTTGTTTGGGAGAGTAATATTTGGGGTAGACGAACCCAGGGTCCCTAGTTCTGGTTTTTACCTGGTTTGTTTGGCGTCTTGGTTCTGGTGGTTCCTGGTTCTCAAGTGTCCAGCATGTCGTCCTTCAGGTGGACGTCCTGAACAAGGTGGACTGGAACGGCTGGATGTTCACTCCTGGGATGCCTCCGGTCAAACCTCAGTAGGTGAACCTTCCCTGTCCTCCATCTGGTCCCTGAGACCCGTCCTAAACGTTGGTTCTGGTTCTGATCCAGGTATGACACCACGCTGGCAGACGCCTGCATCGCACTGACTCAGAGGTGGATCAAGGTAGGAACTGCTCCTCATCCAGACCCGTCCCCTGGAGACTTTGGACCGAGATGTCTGTCCTCTGTCCCCAGGCCAAAGACCAGGACCTGAATGTCTTCAGCCAGTCGGACGTGAAGACGCTGTCGTCCCACCAGCTCATAGAGTTCCTTTCTCTGCTGCTGCAGGAGGTGAAGCAGGCCCTCATTGTCCCCGCTATGACCTCTGTGTCCGCCTCTGACCTTTGACCTCTGCTCTGTCCCTCAGGAGCCCCTCCCTCTGTCTCATGTGAAGAAGATGCAGGATGTCTACGATTTCAACGCCTCCACCAACTCAGAGATCCGCTTCAGGTGACTCATTGGTTCAGAGCTAAGCTCCGCCCCTTCCTGGCGGCGCTGCATCCTGATTGGCTGCTGTGTGTCCAGGTGGCTGCGGCTGTGTGTCCGCTCTCAGTGGGAGGAGGCGGTTCCTCTGGCGCTGAAGATGGCGACGGAGCAGGGCCGGATGAAGTTCACCCGGCCGCTCTTCAGGTATGGACGATGGGTCCAGGTGAGCTGCAGGTAAACGCTGCCGTGTTTCTCACCTGTCCTCCATCTTTGGACCTGCAGGGAGGTTTTTAACTTTGGGAAATACAGTGAGGAAGCCGTGCGCGTGTTCGTGGCTCACCGCGCCGCCATGCACCCGGTGACCTCCGGTCTGGTGGCCAAGGACCTGAAGGTGGACGCCAGCAGCACCTGAGACCGCTGATCCCCTCCTGGTTCTGACCCGGTTCTGAATCTGCAGTATGAAACCACAGAACCAGAAGCTTCTGTTGGACCAGATCAGATTTTTATAAAGATCTGTGAGCTCAGCGCCGAATCGTGTCGTTTTTTTTAAACTTCAACTTTCTGCATCTCTTTGGTGTGGAGTGCACCTCTTGGTTTAGACCCGGGGTCTCCAACATGCAGCTCCAGGGCCAAACATGGCTCTCTGGACCTTCCACAGCGGTCCCTAATAACTTTAAATAAAGATGTAGTAACAAATGCAGGCTGTTTTTCCTTAGCCAGTGTTTTTGGTCTTTTATGGCAAAAATCTTGAATGAAGTTAAAATAAGACAAAACTAAGTTAGATAACTTTTCAGCTGTGAATAACTCCTTAATATTGACTTAAAACAATAATCTACAATTTTAACTTGGGGAAATGTTTAGTTCTACTGGCAGATTATTTCACTTTTGGATCAATGTTAAGGAATTAAGTTAAAGCTCCAAGTTATAGTTGTAAATTAGTTTTGTCTTTTTCCTTTAGAAACCAAACAAAAGGATTTGTTAAGGTTTTGTGTTTTTGTAATAATTTCACTAAATATTCGCAGAAGAACATCTGAAAAATAATCAGGAATATCTTTGAAGGTTTTTCTTATTGAGTTGAAAACTAGCTTTTCAGTCACAAAAAGATTTTGGGCCCAAACAAAAACTTTGTCTGATTTCAAGCTTTTAGACATCAGAAAGAAATGATCAACTTTAGAGGAAATAAAGAATTTTTATCACATTTTCTACAAATATCAACATCCCATTGAAGAAAACCTAAAAACTGACTTAGTTATAAGCAGTATGACTTTTTAAGGATCCTGTCGCCATAAACAAGTTTTATTTACAAAAGTTATAAACAAAATAAAGGACATGATTGGATGTTTTCAGTATTTTTTGCCAATAAGTGGAGGTTTGTGGTCAGAGTCCAGTGAGTCATGGCGGTGGCAGCGTCATGCTGTGGTGCGTTCTGGGTTTTCATGTCTGAGCAGAGCGAAGATGAAAGTTACCAGGTCGTGTTTCACCATCAGCGGCCCGTTAGCATGAAGCAACAAGAAACGATAAATTACGTTGCGAGTTTGTTCATCAGGAGGAAGTGAGGAAAGAGCGATGAGTCGCGTTTCCTCAGAACATCAGTTCTTCCATCAACTTTGTTTCATTAAAACATCCAAACTGGATTCAGAGAACATAAAACACAAACATTTTGGATGATTAATGTGAAGCAGCTGGTTTCTGAGGTCACAGGGGTCAGAGTTCAGAGGTTAATTGCACACACCTGGGCAGTTCAGGTAACACATGATCACCAACCAAACATGCAAGGTAAGAAAAACGTTGAGCTGCTCGATGCTCTGAAGGTCAGAGATCCTGTGGAGCGTCAGGAGTTCCCCAGGGCTCCGACTCGGCCCGCTGTATTTTCAATCTTCAGATGTCCGAGCCTGTTAGCCTAGTTAGCATCCGCACAGAGATGCATATGCTAACTCCGCAATACTTTGGACTTTCTTCCAACTTTATCATTTAAAAAAGTTAAAAAGCTGTCAACTTGAAAATCTGGACCTAAATGTAGCAAAAACTAGTTTGACCTAAAACCTGATTGCAGTTGGCAGGAAGTGAAGGACCCGACCAGCTGCTGGAAGCAGGCCAAGCGTTTCCAATCTTTACATTTGAAATGTGGTTCTAGATGACAGAACTAGACACTCTGAAGTTTCTCCTAAAACTCGACAGTGAGCTGAAAATCAGTTTTTATTAAACACAGGAAGTGACATCACTGAGGAAATAAGGCAGATGGTGATCAGGATAATCCGGTTCTGCAGGGAGCCGAGTTCAGGTCACATGACCAGCAGCTGGCTCATCCCATAATACTGTGGGTTACCATGGTGACACATGAAGAAACTCGGATTATGAATCGGCAGTTTAATCCCAAAATAACTGTAATAATCTGGGATTATTTATCCTTTTTTGTATTTTTACACATTTAAAACATTACTTTAATAGTGTTATATTTTAAAAATAAACATTTGATTGTATATATTAGTTAAATTTTTGCAGCTTAATTTTCAATGACTTCATGTTTCCAATAACCAGGGATTAATCTGTTAATGTTTAAAACCATATTCAGATTTATTGGAATAAATCCTTTAAAGTAATTATTGTGTTCTCTTTATATTTTAATACATTCTTACTTTTTTTCAAAACTTCCAGGCTCTCGTTCAAGTTTTTAGTGTTTTGATAAATTTATAATTACACGTTTTTTATTTGAATTGAAAACAAATGTTTGTAATGTTCTTTAACTGTATTTAATTTAAAATACAACTCATCAGTAAACTTGGTTTAAATCATCAATTTTAGAATCAAACCAGATTAATGCAGTTTTTATGTTAATGTCACTGATTTGGTCATTAATTAGTTTTTGTTTTTATTTTAGAATCAGTTTTTTTGACCTTCATAATTTCAGTTTTTCAGTTATTGTTCAGATTATTTGGATCAAAGATCCTCAGGAATCGCTTTGATTACCGATATTGGTTCTGATTGCAAATCGTCTGAGATCTGAATCAGAACCAAATTATGACGTTTAAAAGAATGACAAAGACAGACTGGATCAGAACCGGATCAGAATGTTTGAGCAGGAAGTTCTGCCTTAAACCAGGTCCAAAAAAAGCTTTTGGGTCAGTTACCAGAACCACCAACTGAAGACCAAGCTATCACTTTAGCCCCGGCCAGCAGAACCTCCAGGTTCTGGTGCGGTTCCGTCAGGCCCAGCTGAGCACCCCGGCCAGCAGAACCTCCAGGTTCTGGTCCTGCTGGCGGTCCAGGAGGCGCTGCTCCTCCAGCAGGGCCACCAGGGCGTCGCGCTGCTCCACCACCTCCAGCATCTCCTCCAGGATCCGCCGCTCCTCGCCCAGCTGCTCTTCGCCCTTCAGGTGATCTGAAACATTGGGCCGGTCAGACCGGCCCGTCCGGGTCGGGACCGGGTTCTGATCGGGTCGCCTCACCGTCCACGGCCATCCGCTCCCTCAGCTCCTGCTGCAGGCGGCTCTGTTGGTCCTCCAGCTGCAGCTCCCGGGCGCTGAAAGCAGAACCGCCTTCAGCTCTGACCCGACCCGGTTCCGATCCAAATCCACTCACATACTCACAAGATCATGAGTTCTGACTCGTATCGGACCAGAGAGTTCTTCTGCTGGACCAGCCGGAACCACTGCTGCATCAGAACCAGGTTGTCCAGTTTGCCCAGTCCTGCAGGCACAGCAGAGCGTCGTCTCCGTCGTCATGGAAACACTACAGGTAACAGACACTCACCTCCCAGGTGAAGCTCCGTGTCTGGACCGTGGCTGGAGTCCTCCCAGTAGTCTGACAAGAACCAGAACCAAGAGTTCAGGACCGGGTTTTTTAGATTCAGGTGAGTTCAGGTAGAACCTGCTGGTTCTGGTCGGCTTTACTCTGGGTTTATTAAAACCCAGGTGTGTGTTCAGGTGTGTTCTGCCGGCTGGCTCACCTGCTTCTCCTCTCAGAGCTTTCTCCACCATCACTCCTCTCTCCTCCAGCTCTCTCTGCTTCACCTCCACCTGCTGCAGCTGCTGCTGGATCATCTGAAGTAAACGGAGCGGGATCACGGTCTGGACCCCACCTGTCCTCAGATAAACTCACCTGTCCTCAGATAAACCCACCTGTCCTCAGATAAACCCACCTGTCCTCAGATAAACCCACCTGTCCTCAGATAAACCCACCTGTCCTCAGATAAACCCACCTGTCCTCAGATAAACCCACCTGGGCCTTGTGCAGCCTCTTCAGCTGCTCTTTCTTCGCCTGCCTCCTGGCCGCTCTCTGGACGCGGCGGGTGATTTTGGCGTCCAGATCTCCGTCTTCGTCCCCTTCCGGTTCCTGGAACATGGCCTCCCTCACGCTGAGGCTGGACGGCTCTTTGGGCGGGACCAGGACACCCAGAACCTCCGTGGGACAGGAAGACTGTCCATCCGAGTCCGGGACGCTGTCCCTCACACGCGTCTTCCTCTGAAGAAAATGGCGGGTCACACCTGGACTGACAGCATCGCGAGCAGGACAGGTGAGTCTTACCTTGTCTCCATACGACCGTCTGAAAGCCAGAGCATGAGGGACGTAGACCTGCAGACAGACAGGAAGTGGACGCATGCACAACCGGAAGGAGTTAACCAGCCAGCGGAACCTCAGGTTCGTTAGTTCGTCTCCAACCAAACCGACGCTCGGTTCTTACCTGCTGGGTCTCCTCTTCATCCTCCTCCTCCTCCACGGAAACTTTCTGCAGTTCAGACACGAGATCGAACAACTCCAACTGCAACTGGACACCACACTCCAGGTATTAGTCTGATCCCCAGCCTGCTCTAGATCACTTACTCACTGGAGTCTGTTGCTCCAGGTATTAGTCTGATCCTTCTGACTTTTTCTGGTGGAGGCAGAGATTTGTCTCCGCCCACTTTCTATTCTGTACACAGTGTTAGAATTGGTAGATTTTTATGGTTTACTGATCTTGTCTCTGATTGGCTGATTTGTAATGTGTTCAGTGATCTTGTCTCTGATTGGTCGGTGTGTGTCTGTGTTCTCACGTTGTTTCCTGGTTTTAGTGAACATCTCTGCAGCAGCGTTGAAGACTCAAGAATCGTCTCCTCTCTTGCGACTTGGGGACAAAGAAAGTAGTGTTATTACATCATCACTGTGACATCATTCTTTCCTATTGCATCATCACCTGTATTCCTGCTATGATTGGCTGGGAGCCTCAACTTTGCTGCAGGTA